CGTTACCAATGAGACAACTATCTACCGTGGTGTTCATCACGACCGTGAGGACTTGGATGAGACTAGTGCCAAGAACGTCTGGTCGGCAGTCCACACCATCACGTTTAAGCGCGTTCCCGGTCCTCCGCCTCCAGAGCCCTCGACCCTTACATCTACCACCCAGGCTTCTTCTGAGGGTGATGCCCTTGAGATTCCAGCCTCTCTCGACAAAGACCCCACAACTTCATCCATCCTTCGCCTGCTCCGTGTTTTGCATGAAATGAACGCAACGATTGATGATATCTTGACTGATAGCAAGGACACTGCCAACATAAAATCAGAGCCCTTGGCCCAATTCATAAACACGAAGCTCACCGCAAAGATCAACCGCCAACTCGAGGAGCCATTGATTGTGGCAAGCGATTGCCTTCCAAGTTGGAGCGAAGACCTAGCCAGGCTTTTCTCCTTCTTGTTCCCATTCGAGACAAGGCATCTATTCCTGCAGTCTACTGCATTTGGCTACTCACGCGCGATGATGAGATGGCAAAATTCTCAAAGTGGCGAGGACAGCCGACGGGACCTGCGACGCGATGATCGTCCATTCCTCGGGCGGTTGCAACGCCAAAAAGTGCGCATCTCTCGTTCTCGCATACTTGATTCTGCATTGAAAGTCATGGAACTCTATGGGTCTTCTCCCAGCATTCTCGAGGTGGAATACTTTGAAGAGGTTGGTACTGGATTAGGGCCGACTCTTGAATTTTACTCTACTGTTTCCAGAGAGTTCTCGAAGAAGAAGCTTAAGATCTGGAGAGACACGGACGGAAGCTCTACTGCAGAATACGCATTTGGTAAACGCGGCCTGTTCCCAGCACCGATGAGCGATGAACAAGCAGCCCAGGATATGGGCAAGAAGCAGTTGAATCTCTTCAAGGTGCTCGGAAAGTTCGTGGCCCGCTCGATGCTTGACTCCCGGATTATCGACATTTCGTTCAACCCAGCGTTCTTCCGTATCGCGGATACTCTGTCCTCGGTGGCACCATCTCTAGGCACTGTCAAGTTGGTTGATCATGACCTGGCGAAGTCCTTGATCATGCTCAAGGAATTTGTCAATGCCAAAAACGCCATCGAGGCAAACAAGTCACTTTCGCCAGCCAGCCAATCTGAGGCTGTGCAAAACATCACGGTCCACGGCGCCAGGGTGGATGACCTGGGGTTGGACTTCACCCTACCTGGATACCCTGCTATTGAGTTAATTCCTGGCGGTGTCGACATACCGTTGACAATTGAAAATGTTGACACTTACATCGAACGGGTGATCGACATGACCTTGGGCAACGGTGTACGGCGTCAGGTGGATGCCTTCCGGGCTGGGTTCTCGCAAGTCTTCCCCTTCTCCTCCCTTCGTGCTTTCACTCCAAGTGAGCTTGTCATGCTTTTCGGACAAGCGGAGGAGGATTGGTCTATCGAGACCTTAATGGACTCCATCAAGGCCGATCACGGGTTCAACATGGACAGTCGGAGTGTGCGCAACCTATTGCAGACCATGAGCGAGCTAGATAACAATCAGCGCCGAGATTTCCTTCAGTTTGTCACCGGTAGTCCCAAACTCCCCATTGGAGGTATGTTAATCCCATTTTTCACCGCATAAAATCCCACTGACTAACATAACCAATTATAGGGTTCAAGAGTCTCACGCCAATCTTTACTGTCGTGTGCCGCCCAAGCGAACATCCCTATACACCAGACGACTATCTCCCCAGTGTGATGACCTGCGTCAACTACCTGAAGTTGCCGGACTATAGTGACCTGGACGTTCTGAAGAAGCGTCTCTCAGTCGCCATCAAGGAAGGCCAAGGGGCTTTCCATCTGTCCTAGACATGTGGACAGGTGTTGACACTGAAGACTTCCACCATCTCCTTTGCCCTCTCTTCTCTTTCGCCAGCTTCCGTCTTTCTCAGCCAGGACGAGAAACCATTCACGATGCGACGACGTGCGACGACGTGCGACCTGTTTCTGCTTTGTTCCTCCTCAATTTCCAAGTTTTCGAACGGGCTGTTTCGCTGTTCTTGTCTTTTCCTTCATATGCCATCTGGGTCGAAAGGCGTCATGGCGGGGGTTCCTTACGATAGTGGTATTAGATAGCAATGATCACTTTCTACTGAAATCTAAATTTTCTAGTGTAGGTTTTCTCATACTGGGGTATCATTTTGTACAAATGTATTGTAACACAAAGTCTATTCTAATGTAGGACAATTGCCCTATTAAATAGAGTGAGATTCTCCCATTCCTCCGAGATCACTCAGGAACTACTTGCTGACTGCTGCAACATACATATTCATCCAGATTTCATTTCGTGAAATAGAGTACAACCATCCCTATACTATGGCTGCTCTTCGGGAGATTACCATCGAATCCCTCAACGGCCATTGGGTCCTGGTGATTATATACTATCTCCCCTTCGAGAATACTAGATTCTAATCAAATCACCGTCTACAGAACAAAGACCTAACCAGCGAGGCAGACCCTATCCTAAAACTGGTTCGAAAGATCTCCCCAATTTCGCCGACTACAAATACCAAGCTAATCATCCCTTATCTTCCATAGCAAAAAGTACCTTGGTTAATCCGCGAAGCATTCGGATTCGCAACAATATACATCCAAATCACCCAATACCAAACACAAACCTCGGAAACAAGCCAACCATCAACAAACATCGACTTCCACCAAACAGCCACCGCAGGCCTGGCTGCAACAAAAGAAGAGCGCGTCTTGGATTGGAAAATATCAGACCACGAAGACTACTTCTTCGGGAAGGTCCAAGCGCAGAGTGAATTCGTTCATGGTGTCATTGATGCGGATGGAATTGTAAGGCCGGGATTTGAGCTTCAGACGGACAACGCCAATAGAGATATCATCAAATACTTGCGAGGGGAGATTGAGGCGGATGGGAGGAAATCGGAGGGTTTTATAGTTGAGGATTGGAGTGGGATGTCGGAAGGTCCTGGGCTTTGGGTACATACTTTTGAGAGGAATGTTAAGTCTGGGTGGACGGCTGAGCAGGTGAGTAATTCGATTTGTTTATTGTTTATTGTTTATTGTTTATTGTTGTGCTGTGTTAGAAACTGATTACCTGGGTAGATTTGGGGATTTGAGATGTTCGGGGACTCGCGATACTTCTCCCGTCGAGTGGTGGTCATGACTACAAAGGGACAATATATATGTGGGAGGATTGTGTTTGATTTTGTAGATAGATAATAACTTTCGAAAGTCATAGGGGAATTAGTAAATCTATCATTCTAATTGTCTATCAATCGTAAACTCTATGAATCTATACTCTAAATCTATAACTCTATATAACGCAAGTGGATAACCAACTCTTCACACACAAGACACTCTAGTTCGCATAAATCTTCACCATAGACTGTGAAAACCGTTAGCCAAACGCGCATCAAGCAGATAAAACAAGGGGATAACTCACATCCGCAAATTTAGGCTCAATAAACAAAGCCTTGGCCTCAGCAACCATTACCGCACCTTCACTATCCTCCTTTAGCAGACTAGCATCAGAAACGCCATTCGAGTCCGCAGAAAGTGGCAAGGTCAAAGGAAGATAAGTCATCCGACCCTCAACCCAAGCCTTCCTACCCTCAACCTTAACCGTCTTTGTGCGCAGCACATACATCCGGTCGGGAAGAGCCGGTTTTCGGAAATCCACATTAAGATTAGCCGTCATACCCAACCCGCTGGGCAGAACCGCAGAGGCACAGCGCGCAAACACCTCATCAAAGAGAACAGTAAGCAGACCACCGTGGACAAAGCCCGGGTGACCGCAGAGATCCTGACCGATGTGGAACACTGATACAACACTACTGGCTCGGTCGGCATTCTCGGTTTGTCCTTCGGTTTTGCCGGTCGATAGCCACATGTATGGTGCGAAGGCAAGCTTGCCTGGACCAGCTAAGCTGCCACCCACGAAGTGGTGCTGTCTGATGGGTGGTGGAATTGCGAGATGGGGTCGGGTTTCCTTGTAGGTGCTGTGGGGTTCGCGGAGGGTTTGGACGAGAGGGATATGGGGAACAAGGGTGTCGAGCGTTGTAGATTCATGGTGTGGTGATCGAGCCACGGGCTTTGATTGTGACTGGGTCTGAGAAAGGAAATGAGGTGCTTCTGTTTGGCTAGGGAGGGCTTGATCGTGAACCACTGCCGACCGTGTTGGACCTTGTTGGTGAAGACGTGCGACAGGCGCTGCGGGCGAGTATATTCTGAATGTTGAAAGGTTTTGCGATCGAAAAAGCCGGCGCGCCGTTTGTGAAATGGTTGACATTCTGGAAGTATGCATGAAGCCGATAATGATTCTAGTTCATGCATGTTAGAGGGGCTAGTTTGATCGGCGACCGGGTACTTCGTACATACTGGAGAACAAACTCAGCTTATTTGGATCTTGTTGACTCTGTCGATCGCTTTCGTATTGTTGATAGTTTGGACTTGATATATGAAGTATACCACACTTCGACTTTTTCGATGACGATGAACGTGAAAAGATTGTTCGGCGATTTAAACAAGAGACCCGCCACTATCTGGTTTAATCTTGTTTCTGCTTTTTTAAAGCCGATTTTTCTCCTGGTAGATCCACCAGTGGGGCCTTGGAACAGCCGATGATCGGACCGGCATGCCAAGACATATAGTTCGGGATGCCGAGAACTATAAGATGCCGTAGATCTATATCAATATACCTTCATATTTCAACATTCTTCAACAGAGTGCTGATGGGTTGAAGATCTGAAGATCGAATGTCGTAGTATAGAGCATTAGTATAGCAGGGTGGTCCTGAACGGGGGTCCTTCCTCGTTGGGGGTGACAATGCAGCGCGCGTTCACTGTTGGGTTCTCATGGGAACAGCACTCAGTCTCGTCTTGTCTTCTTCGCCTTCTCAGTCATAACGTCTTTACCATCCAGTTTGCGCATCATCTGTTCTATCTTATTAGCTTCAAATCAAGAGATTTCTGATTGTATCTTTCAAGATGGCGGATGAAACCAACCTCTCTTCTTCTTCTGGCGAGGACTCAGCCTCTGAGATAGCCACCAACCCTGGCCCTGGCGCAGCCAATATCCCCCAGACTGCCCATAACCCGTTTGGTTCTGGTATGGCTAGCAGTACCCAGGTTGTCAACAACCCGTTCGGTTCTGGCACCATCCAGACCATCGTCACCCCATTGGGCTCTGGCCTGAACAACCCTTTCGGTCCTGGCGCGGGTACCATCCCCCAGGCCGTCAACAACCCGTTCCGTTCTGGTTTGGCCAATTCCACCCAGACCGTCACCTACCCTTTCGGTCAAGGCACGGGTATCAACCCCCAGGCCATCAACAACCCTTTCGGTTCTGGAGTGAGCAGCACCACCCAGACCGCCGCCAACCCTTTCCGTCCTGGCTGGGCTAATCCCCGCCAGACCAATAATCCTTTTGCTTCTGGCCTGACCAATGGCACCCAGAGCAACAACCCTTTTGTCTCTGGCTGGGGCATGTCCTCCCAGATCAACAATCCTTTCGGTGCTGGTGTGGGCAATGCAGCCCAGAACACCTACAGCCCTTTCCGTGCCGTCGCCACCGTTGACGCCCCGTTGACCCCCAATGGGGGATTGACCAACGGACATGGCCACGGCCACGAATGGAGGGCTCCCCGCCCAACCGACTTCAACCCCCTCTACCACCCACCTGACGATGAGGCCGACGGGGAGGACGAGGAGGAGAATGATGAGGATGATGATGAGGAGGAGAAAGAGGAAGAGGAGGAGGAAGCCCCCAATGGGGTCATCTCGGCCCTGGAAGCCGCATTGGACGCCATCCTGGCGGAGGGTAACGAGGAGGAGGATTGTGCTGACGACTCCAGCGACGGCGATGAGGACGCCTACCTGGACGAGGCGTAGGCAAGTAAATGCTTACTTGAATGCAAGGTATGTATTACATTCTCCCTTCCCCTGGGCCGCAGTCAGCTTCACTTCATTCTATTATTGCTTTGGACTTACATCGGCTTCGTTGCTAACTCACTTTCTTGCCATTAGGTGCCGATGAAGAGAGCGGGCGGCTTCCTCGTCGGCTTCCTCAGCCTTGCGGTGCCCCACCACGGCTGACCTTAAGCGTGGTGGGGCACAAGTACTATCATCATGGGGAGGGAGAAGGGGGAGGAGGGGATGGGAGTGGGGGAATGTTTCTTTGAGTCGGCCGAGGGTGCGGCCGACAATGTATGATTTGGACCGGCATGAGCCGTTTGCTGTTTGGTTCCGGCCTAGAGGGTGGCAATGCACCGGGCTTTTGCCCAGTAGTTGTCACCCAGGCCAGGAGAAGCCGCTCATTGCTGAGTCTTGTTGTGTTGAGTATCCTTTTTTTCTGTGTTGAGCATGTTTGTTTTTGTGTTGAGATGATCAGTGATGAATATCATTTTCATTTCGACTTCCCCAGTTGACACCCTTTACACCGGAGAGACATCTCAAGACTGAGAGTTGCTGACAAAAACGCTGGTTCTGTTCTAAAGCATGAACATGTAGAGCAGAATTGGAACCCATCGTTAGACGTTCGTACGTTGCAATACGACAATACGATACGATACGGTCCAACGCGCGTGCGAAAGACACCGGCTTTAAGACAGACCTTTTGGAACTGCCTCGAATACCCTGAATCAATTTATATACACCCGCGAGAGCTAACCCAAAGCTGGCTGATATGCGTCAATGGAACGCGGCTTCAGCACATAGATTAAGACAGAAATGCTGGTCTATAGTATAACCCGACGAAGTCCGAGCCATATTTTATCCAATCTGCAATATATGCCGGGTTGTGAAAAAGCCACATATAGTGAACGGATCTATTGGAAAAGGGTAAAGATGTATTTGATACTGACAGCACTTCTTCTAGAACAAGGTTCCATCACCAAAGTTCAAGATAGGACTACACTTTGTCTCCGGACGTTTGGCCGCTGCAAGTTCCCGACCCGCTTTCCAAGAACCAGCCTCTAACACCTGAGGTAGAGACAATTGGACACCATCCAAGCGAGCGAGAATCTTCGTATGCAGCACATCGAGGAGCGCAACAGTCATTGCTCGCCATTCCACAATCTCGTCATCGCCCGCACCGAATGAAGGCAAGCTACCACCGGAAAGACTCAACCCTCGCTGCAGTGACTCGGGCTTCAATTCTAGAACTCCTATGTCGACAAGCATCCCTCCGTTGCGGTACTCCGGCAAACCAGTCCCCAGCTCCGTATTGGACCACGAGACCGAGAGCAGACGAGAGAACGGCACCATCAATGAGTACGCTAGCCATTGGGTCAGCTTATGGAACGGCTGGATGTTGGAGTATGGTTTTGACTCCGATCCAGGCTGCTGGGAAAGTGCCCGCAAGGGCCATGCATCGCCGATGGGCTGTCCATTAATGTGAGTACGATCAGACGGCCAGATGGGGATCAAGAGGCGCTGTAGCACGTTCCAAAGATCCTTGTAATCGAGCTTTCCGCTACCATTCGACTTGGCAATGAGGTAGTCTGGATGTTTTGGATGCTGTTTAGTCATTTGGGTAAAAAGGTCCAGCACTAACTGGACTTCACGGACGATATGAACTTACCAACAAGATTACCAGGACGGCCAGTGGGACCGAAGATATCTTTCAAGTTGACCAAAGACTCGCCGAGTTTACGGAGGATGTCTGCACGTGCCGCTACTCCGATCATGGGGTTGGTATCGTCGACCTGGAGTCCGCGGGATAGGATGTCTACATTGATATTGCGCAATGCATCCCCTAGCACAAGTCAGCTAACAGTAGATATCACATCGCATGTACGAGCAAACGCTTACCATTGGCAGTGTGTTTCACCGACGAATCATTGCCGGCAAAGTCACCGTTTAGAAACATATGTAGGGCCGCCACCGCAATACCTTCGCTTCGATTCAGCGTCAGACCGCTTTGTGACTCATTGAATTTCCAAAAGTCTCCGGCACCAGCATCCAAAAGGACAGAGACAAAGAAAAGATCTATCAATCTGCGAGTCTTTTCAGTGGTGTTACATTTCTCCTCATCCCATCCAGCTAGGAGAGTGGCTATGCGGGGAACCCCGCCGACTTCGAAATGCTGCCAGCGTCCATGGGGCGGAATTAGGTGATATTTGTCAGGGCCAAAGTCACGCTATCATAGAGAGTGAGCCTTTTTATGCTTGAAACTGTAAGTGTTCGCTCTGGGAATGTAGCCCTACCTGGATCAGTTTAAGTACGTAGTCGGTGGCATCTTCCATGCGGCCAGGGTGGTAATTGAAATGATTCAAACGACCCTCCTCGGCTAGTTTCAGGACTGTATGGGCTCTTGTACGGACGGCTTCTAGGCCTAATAGTTCTTCAATTTGGGGATCCATGTTGATTGAGAGAATGGTTGGGGGTGAGTCTGGAGGGCCTCGGGAGGTCAAGAAATGGGCGTTTTATTACTTGGAGCTAGGAAGGCGGGGGAACATATGCACTTATGTAAATAGCTGCATATATGCCGAGTGAACTAGTTACTATTAGGCAAGGTGTCTTGAATGGCATCGACTATTCTTCTTAGGTGTTGGGGTATTCTTTGTCACTGATATGTTATCTGTCTGATATCGGAGAAGTCCGATAACGTTGGGCTGTGCACGTTGGAAGGATTTAGAAGTCAAGAACATATGCAGAGTAGTTTTGGTATAGACTAATAGCGATACTAAGATTTTTTTACAAACCCAATGCTTCAGTAAATTCAAAATTAGAAGGTCAGAGGGTCAAGGTGGCCCAGGAACGCGTCGTTACCCTCGCCACGAAGAAGAGCATCGACGTCAATGCGACCGGCCGTAAGATACTTCTCACTGACACCGATGTTCACTCGCTGAGAAAGGAGTTGCTTGAGCTCCGCACGAAGCCCGGCCATTTCGCTCTTGCTCGTTTCGCTGGCCTCCTTGTCACGTCTTTCGCGGCCACCACCACGGCCACGGCCTCTACCCTTAGACTGATCGAACTCGTCACTGTCATACTCAACACCGAGATCATCGGCCGCAGCGCGGAGCCAGTTGTCCTCGGTGTTGACCTTCTCCTTGGCGATAGTGGAGTCGGTAATTCGCTTGGCGAGAGCCATGCGGGGGCGCAGGCGAGAAACCACTCGGCGATCAATGTCGAGAGACTCGAGAGGAACCTTCTTGCTAGGTCCGTTAGCGCCATCGGCCTTCTTCGCCTTCTTGGCATAGATTTTGCCAGCGAGACGGGCAACACCGACAACCTCGTCAGGAGCACAGATGAGGATACTCTTTCCAGACTCACCGGCACGAGCAGTACGACCGGATCGGTGGACGTAGGCGTCTGCTGTCCGGGGAACATGGTAGTGGATGACACAATTAATGCCCTTGATATCCAAACCACGAGCGGCGACATCTGTGGCGACAAGAATTGAGCTTGGGTTGGCAGTGGGAGATGAGAAACGTTCGATGGAACGGAGTCGGGCTTTCTGGGCCATGTTTGAGTGGAGTGCGAACACAGGAAGTTGAAGAGCTTGCAGAAGCTGGGTGATGCGGCGGACAGCGGAGATGGAGTTTGTGAACACAAGTGTGCGGTTCTTGGGATAGTAGAGAAGAACTGAGTAGAGGTAGAGGTCCTGATCATTTGAATTAGCATTGGTATTTGAGCGGTTCATAAAGAAAGTGTCTTACCTTTTCCATAGCAGGACATTCGACGATTCCTTCCTTGAGTCCGGTGGCCATCTGTGACTCTGGGTTCACATCGATGAACTTGGGCTTCTCTTCGCGGAAATTCAATTTCTTGAGAAGGTACTCCATAGACGCTTTGTTGTCCAACATATCACCACTTGACCAGCGGCTTTTGCCTGCTAGCTTTTGTTGAAGATCCTTGTGGAATGTGGCCGAGAAGACAAGAGTTTGCCTGTGGGATGGCGCCTCCTCTTCTTCTTCCTGGTCCGCGTCTGCAATATCTCCGGCTTGATGTTTGTCTAGTGCATTAAGGATATCTTCCACCTCCTTAAAATGACCTTCACTCAGCAGTCTGTCCGCTTCGTCGACGACTAGGAACTGGATTTTCTGCATTTTGCGGATCAAACCAGTTCCTGTGCTTAGAATCTCCCACACTCGGCCGGGAGTTCCAACGACAATATCTGCGGTAGCGAGTTGTCTCTGCTGCTTCTGAATAGACATACCACCGGTAATAAGGGCAATGCGTGCGTTTGTATCCGGGGAATTGGCAATAAGCTCTCCGATATGCTTTCCAAGCTGATGCGCCAGCTCTCGAGTGGGAGATAGAATCAATGCAATCGGAGTTTTGTTCTTTTCAGATTCGTCAGACTGTTCCCCCTGTTTCCCTCTCTTGTCCAAGTAATGTTCGATAATGGGAATACCGAATGCCAATGTTTTACCCGAACCTGTTGAGGCCTTTCCAACAACATCGTGCCCATCGAGAATGGCAGGAATACTGGCTTTCTGGATGGCCGATGGGGTGCTGAACTTCATTTTGGAAAGAGCCGTAAAGGTCTCGGGAGAAAGGTTAAGCCCATCCCAAGCCGAGACATCCACACCGTCGTCCTCTTCCACATCATCGAGAGCCGCGAAAGAGAGCCCGGCCTTGATGTTCTGGTTCTGAGCAGGTTTGGATTCCTTAGTCTTTTGCTCCTTGGGTTTTTGCTCCTTGGACTTTTGCTCTTCTTTCTTGGCTTTATTTTGCTCCTTCTTCTTGTCCTTCTTCGACTTCTTATCTTCCTTCACTTCGGTTGCAGCAGGAGTCTTCTCGGTGGCAGGAGACTTTTTGGCCGAGTCTTCGTCGCTAAAACCACCCCATTCCTCTCCGTCATCTTCAGACGGGGGTTTCATAATCGATTTCGTTGACTTGCCAGACTTGGCCTATCCATCCAACCGTATGTATTAGCATTTAGTCAACATGATTGATCAAAGCACGCGGCCTCATACCTTGAAATGAACTCCTCCGTCGCTCTGTTTTATGATATCAACCCCCTCGATCTCTTCTAGTCCGAAGAAACCCTCTGCATCCTCCATTCGATCTGGCATAGCAACTTCCTTCCAGTTGAGATCCTCAACTCCGACAGGGCCATGGTCGTCGCTTGAAGCTGCATTAGACGTGACGGCCTTCTTGCGTTTGTTTGCCTCAGCCACCTGGGCTTTGGGGTCGCGTGCTCGCTTTTGACCCATTATGAACTGAGTAATTCTTGAGTATTACAATGTGTTCCGGTAGACAAGTGATCCAAATACGCCGTCAGGGAAGATTCGCAAAGAAAAAAAGCGGCAGAAATTTTAGTCCGCCTTTGGAATCTTATCTTTTCGTTCCCCACGTTCGCCGCAAAATTAACCCACTTTGACAGGCTAGGACTGCCAATTGCGCCTGAGCAGCCCTGTTTTCAAGATGGGCAAATCATCCAAGGACAAGCGCGATGCTTATTACCGTCTTGCCAAGGAGCAAAACTGGCGCGCCCGTTCCGCCTTCAAGCTTATCCAGATCGACGAGCGATTCGACTTATTCGAGCACGAGAACCCGGACAATGTGACGAGAGTGGTAGACTTGTGCGCTGCACCTGGAAGTTGGAGTCAAGTACTCAGCCGTGTCTTAATTAAAGGCGAAAGCTTCGGGCGGCGGGCATGGCTCGAGAAAAAGCGGAAGGAACAGCAGGGATTGGAAGCTGCGGAGAGAACGACGGCCGATGACGATAAAATGGACTGCGATGAGCCTTCTCCAAGTTCTGAATTAAAGCCCCGGAAGAATGTCAAGATCGTATCCATCGATCTACAACCCATGGCACCGCTTGAAGGTATCACAACCCTTAAGGCTGATATCACACACCCCTCTACGATCCCTCTCCTCTTGCGCGCTCTGGACCCAGAAGCATACGAACAACCATCCACCCCCTCCGATGCTCCATCATCAGTCACAGCGGCTATCAGACAACCTCATCCCGTCGATCTTGTTATCTCCGACGGTGCTCCAGATGTAACAGGCCTGCATGACCTAGACATTTATATCCAATCACAACTCCTCTACGCAGCGCTAAACCTTGCTATGGGAGTTCTCAGGCCTGGCGGCAAGTTCGTCGCCAAGATCTTCCGCGGCCGCGATGTCGACATTCTCTACGCGCAACTGCGGACTGTTTTTGAGCGCGTCAGCGTCGCGAAGCCGCGTAGTAGTCGCGCTAGTTCCTTGGAGGCATTCGTGGTCTGCGAAGGCTTCATTCCACCTGTCAGTGACAGCGGGGTGGTCGGTATGGCCGCATTGAAAAATCCACTCTTCGGCGGTGCCGCAGCTCCAGTGACCGTGTCAGAAGATGGCAATGTGGGCATGGAAGTCCGCGAGGAAGTAGATCAGGACACACAGGCCCGAAATACCGTGGCGCAACCCGCCGTAATTGGCAGCCCTGCGCCCAATCACTCCACCGAAGTCCGCCACCTTCAAACCACAACATCACAAGACCAACCCCAACCCCAACCCCAGAAACTGTCCAACAAGTTCGCTGTTGAGAACCGGTGGATTCCGGCGTTTATTGCTTGTGGTGATCTTTCTGCTTGGGATTCCGATGCGACATACACCCTACCTCCGGATTATGTTAATCTGGACCCTATTCAGCCACCCACTGCACCGCCGTATCGTCGGGCATTGGAGTTGAGGAAGGAAAAGGGTGGTGCATATGGAAAGACCAAGTACGGGCAAAAATAGACGGTCACATTTGATTTTTACGTTGCATGAGTTTGAAGAAAAAGTTGTATGTATAGACGACCTAGACACGACATAGCATTTTCGAGGGTCATGCTAGGAAGGCATTGTCTTCGAAGCAAATACCCAAATATATATATTTTTTAACCACCAAGGGATCTAGATTTAGGAGGGTTTAGGAGAGATTTGAGTGAAGATCGTGAAATTCTAAATGCATTTTTGAAGTCTCTTAGTGCTAGTGCGCTAGCCCAAATCAGGATCTAAATACAAGGGGGAATAAAAAGCAAAAACATGCCAATCGTACAATCATGCCATGCGAAAACGAAGCAAAAAAAGTCTAGTAGACCTCCAAAACGTAGCGCTCCTCGTCCTTCAGCTTCTCAATCTCCTTGCGAGTTTCAACCTTCTTGCCGTTGTTCTTGGCTTCGGTGGCAATAGCCTCCTCCAGAACAGCGGTGACATCGGGCACGGGCCAAGTGGGACCACACAGGTAGAAAGCACCCTCCTCGCGAATGTAGGCCTGGATGATCTCGGGCAGGGTCTGGCGCATACGGTCCTGGATATAAATCTTCTCGGGCTGATCACGAGAGAAAGCAGCGCCGAGGAGAGTGATAACACCAGCCTCCTGGTACGCTTCCCATTCCTCACCGTAGCAGTACTCCTCGCGCTGGTGACGGGAACCCATGTACAGCAAGACAGCGCCGATCTCCTTGCCCTGGGCCTTCTCGAGGGCACGGTGCTGGACGAAGGCACGGAAAGGTGCGAGACCAGTACCAAGACCAGCCATAATAAGAGGCTGGGTGGACTTGGGAGGCAGCTTCATGACACTGGACTTGACGCTGACGGTGATGGGGGAACCGGGTTGCAGACGGCTCAGGTAGCGGGTGGCCAGACCGAAACGGTCGCGGCCGTTAGGGTCGACCCAGTTTACGGCGACGATCATCAGGGCGACCGAGGTAGGGGTCACCTTCTGGCACGACGCAATCGAGTACTCACGGCGCTTGAGAGGACCGATGATGCGGACAATGTCGTGGAAGTCGGGGTGGGCGGAGGGGTACTCGAGCAGGATGTCGGCGAAGGTGACGGTGTCAACCTCGGCGCGACGCTTGAACTCAGTGGCACCGTCGGGACCACCCAGGATGAGCAAGTTAGCCTTCTCCTTCTCGTCGGAGGCAAACTCGGCAAGGGCCTCGTAGAAGCGCTTGGGAGGGCGACCGAAGATGTCGACGTTCTGGACCAGAGCCTGGTACACAGTGCGGTTCTCCAAAACGGCAGGGTCCTCGCGGCTGGGAACCTCGACAATGGCGTCGGCGTCCAAACCGTAGAACTCGATGAACTTCTTGATGTCCTCGGGATCGTTCTCGGCGTGGATACCGAGGGCCTCGCCAATGTCGTACTTCAGGCCAGTCTCACCAAGGTCGAACTCGATGTGGAAGATGTTACGATCATAGGTGGTAGGGGTGAGACGTCGGTTCTCCTTGACGTGGACAGTGAAAGTCTTGTGAGCAAGGTCAGGGCGAAGGGCATCTCTGGTGCCATAAGCCTCCTTGAACGCAAGGCCACGAGCGGCAGTCTCCCAGTCCTTGAGAAGAGTTGGAGGCTCAGACTCGTCCTTGTCGAAGGACACAAAGCTGTTGGCGATGATGTCCTTGGGGAGCTGAACAGCCTCACTGACGCCCTCGGGCTCCTTCCAGGACTCGGGGACCTCGATCTGGCGGAGCAGCTTCTCAAGATCCTTGGTAACATTGTCTAGGGCCTCGGCATTACCTGTGATGGCGGACAGCTTCTTGGTTGCCAGAGCCTCCTGGGCAGGGAGAGCGACACGCACGAACGAAGCCTGAAGGACAAGAGCGTCCAGAGACGAGTCTTCAACGGCAGATGAGTCGACGACGAAGACAGAGATGCCACGCTGGGCGACAGCCTGCTTGAAGGTAGCAGGAAGCTTCTTCTCCAAATCCTCATCCTTGATACCAGGGGCATTCACAATGACCTTGGCGTTGTCCTTGACAGATGCCAGAACATCAACATCGTTCAGCAGCGAGAGGTTGCCAACGTAAGAGACCTCAGCAGCAGTGACCGAGTAAGGTGCGTCAACAATCTTTGCGCTCTTGCGGATGTCAACACGGATGGCGCCACCCTGGACGAGGTTGTCGTGAGTCTGGCTGAGGGTGACGTTGCTGGCCGAGTCGGCACCAAGAGCCTGGCTCAAAGTCTGAGCGGCAGCCTCGGTAATGGAGGTGTCAACATCCCAGAAAGTGTATTCTTGCACGGACGCAGGGTCCAGCAACTGCAGGGAAGCGTTAGTTTCACCGTCGACGGTGAGAATAGGCTGGTCGTACACGCGCTGGAATGCAGCAGCGGTGGAGACGAGATCCCAACGCTGGGAGCGGGGGTACTTGATCTCAACACAAGCCGGGTTGTGTTCACGGCCAGTGGCGAAAGTCAAAGAAGCAAGAACATCTTCATAGAGAGCAGAGTGGACACCCTCTTCCTGGACAGCCTGCTCAGAGGCGACCTGCCCAAGGACAGCGACAGTCTTGGTGGACTGGGGAAGAACGCGCAGGAACTCCTCCTCGATGAAAGGACGGTAGACGCGGACATTCACAACACCGACACGGACACCATCCTTGGCGAGAGAGCGTGCGATCTGGGCAGTCAGAGTAGCCTCGACAGTGCCGAAGGCAATCAGGACAGAGGTGGGCTCAGAGTGACCGTGGTACTCGAAAGCACCGTAGTCGGTTCCGAGCTCGCCGTTCAGGGTCTTCAGCAGATCCAGAACCTTGCCTTGGGCATCGAGGTGACGGTTGCGGGACTCATCGAGGGACTTGCGGACGGTCTCATAAGTGCGAGTCAGACCATCCTTGTCGAGAACATCAATAATGCGGGTGGTATCACGACCAACACGAACGCCATCATAGATATGGATCGAGGGGAGGACAGAGGATAGCAGTGTGGTGAAGAGAGCCATGTGCTGGGACTCGTGGGCGGAACCACTGGAGACCAGACCAAGACCGAGGTCCTCAGCCAGAGAGAGGGCGGAGGCATAGTCGGAGACAAGGCCATCCTCACCGGCGTAGTCTACAGCGGCGACGTGTGCAGCAACTGGGCTAGCGACGGAGTAGAGCAGAGAGAGTTGCTCCAATGCGGCACGCATATAAGGGAGGGTTGCTGAAGAAGCAACAATACCTTGGGGAATGTGGCGCTTCTTCAGATCGAAGTCCTGAGAGAAGAGGTAGCCAAGGGCCATGTTGCCGGCACCCTGGCGGGTTTCCAGAGCCTTGACAGAGGGAGACTCGCCATTGGCATTAGTCTCAGCCTTGGAAGTCCATTCCTTAAGAGCAGCATCAAGATCGAAAGTCTCCGGCGAGTAGGAGAAGATCTTATCACTCAGCAAGTATGCAACTTGCTGGATGAGGGTCTGGGCTGTAACATAGGTCGGGCCATTCAAGGCCGACAGGGCTGGAACTGATGAACCCATGACTTCTTCTTGACACCGGATATAAAACCGATATCTGTTAAAGATAAAAACAAAGAAGAAGGTGGGGAGAAAGAAAATGTCCACTCTACATGGCTTGGTTATAGAGAAAACCCCCAGGTAACTTGCCCAAAGCGGTTAGTGGCAATTGCGTGCTTGTTATCGGGCGATAAGATTTTTCAAGGCGGTAAAAAGTGGCGGATCCCATCCGCTCTCGGAGCATTACTCAGCCGTGCTGTACGTCCAGGGGAGCAATCTTAGAACCTTGGAAAGGAGTGGGTGGACCCGTGACCTACTGGTCATCCCTGGTGTCCCTGGCAATTTATGCTTTTTACCGTCTTCACGGCTTGTCAAGATTGATCAGCAACACACTTTGCGCTACAAACAATTGCTGGCGCATTGTGGGTATTTTTTTTTACGTGATTTGCTTGGTGAGGATAGCCAGACAGCCTACTTATGTATATAGGTAGTTCTGGTCTGACAGGTGATCCTCTAATTGATATAGTGCACCCAGAACGCTCAGGTGAAATCAAACCAGCTGCTTGGCTTCGCAAATCCTTGGAGCTCACCTTTCCCCGTGATTTCCGTAGATTTGTGTACTGCCATGGTTTCAATTGCTCACCCCAAGGAATACCATCAAGACCGCAGCATATGTGGCAGTAGAGACCAATGTCTCCACATTCGAAACCCGCACACCAAGAGCCATAATCAGCGCAAACAAAATTATACAAACCGAAACTGTAACCAGGCTCTTAGTCTTTGACTGATGCAAAGCCATAATGATCATGGGTACCACAAGGAAGATGCCCCCAGTAATAGCGACGAGGAACCGCGTCAATCGATCCACAGACACCGACACTTCTCGCGGTGCTTTGCCCTCGCTGTATTCCCTCGGTCGGGACATCTTTTCTTCACTGGAGAATGCAAGAAATGAAGGCATATAGCGCATCAATGCCCTTCGCAATGGGTCGATTCCTTGCTCTGCGTCGTGAAAAGAGCAGTAATGGGAGTGGAACTGGTCGTTGAGTTTAGATTGAAAGTAGCGTTGTAAAAGCAGCTTACGCTTTCGTGTCTCGGCCTTCCCGAGGGCTGCTTTGCTCCTGAGGAACTGGTAGTTTCGAATTGCAGTGGCTATAGATAAAATGTGATATATTGAGCGACGATCTCTCATTCTAATGTATTAATGAATGACCTCTCACCATATTTCTCCAGCGTCCTTTCGAGAACCTCCAAATCCTGAATCGATGCCCGTTTCTCGCTCTGAAATTGGCCTTTCAATCGGACCAAATCTAGTTGCAGCTTCACAATATTGAGTCTTTGCAGGAATTCAAAACGGAGGAAGTGAAATTCCTCTTCTTCGTTTAGCGAGCGGTTGACATACTCGACAAGATCATCTTCCTCCATGATCATGGGGCTCATGGTGTGTGAAATTTGTTTGGAGGTCCTTCATTTTGGGCAGCGATGGTTCTCAACTTGCCTGCAGCAGTGTCGTGCTGCGCCTCCTTCCCCGCTCGACCCTTAAGCTCGTGAAATTCAGCTAATAATTTAAATAATAAACTGATGGAGCGCACCAAAGCAGAAGCGTCAATTCCAATGACGATGGACAACACCGAGCCTTACATTTGCACCTCTTGTCCCACAGGCCCAAAGAGGTTCAGCACGGAATACGACTTGCGGTAGGCTTTCTTTGCTAGCGTTTCAACGAAGGCAACACCGTCACCCCCAATAACCTCCCCCGACTGACTTGAAAAACCTAGTATCCACGAGAGTTTAGCATGCTTCCATTGCGAGTACTGCAGCCCCAATTTCAGAGGCAGCGAATCGGAGTGGGAATCTCGGCAGGTCTACCATTTGGCCTCTGCGCACAAGTGCGGCGAGTGGAACGAAATCAACAAATTCGACCGTGGCGACCATTTTGGGCAGCTTCCGATACACAGCCGTTCTGGTACCAATGGCCCGAGGATGGAGTATCCAGGAAATTTTTGTAGGAAAGAGAAGCGGAAGCGGGGCCCGGACCCGGTAGCAACTACAACCACGCAAGTCTCCGATATAGATGCATCACACGAGGCGTATGTAGTTTCATCGAATGAGACGTCTCGACATATGAATAATCGCAATCCGAGATCAGAATCATCAGTCCATTCACGAGCCTCACAGCAGTCGACGCCCTCGACGGGGTCGCAGGTATCGGATGGGTCGATAGAAGCAGGCCACTCTGTCTTCCATGCGATGGATGATTTGATTGAGGAGCACCTCAAAGAAGCTTTTCCGAAGCTAAGCTTGATGGCTGGTAAGAAAACAACGCCTGCTAATGAGTCTTACAAAACTGCGGTTAGAACCCTGCTACATAAGATTCACAAGCGTTACCCTTTGCTGTATAGTATTACAGATGTGGAAAAATGTTAGATAAACCTTGATCCATGACAACTTGGTCCGTCGTTACTGATATAGGCTTTTGTTTAGACGAATGCCATGAGAACCTCGTGGTTTTGTATGACGACATGAAGCTAGCTTTCATGCCTCAGGTCCTAGTAGCGCGGGGATCAGAGGAGGCTTACACCGAACTGACTTTGCAAATCTCTGAGTTCAGTTATCGGTTGGATCAGTGTATGGGTCTAGAACCCGATGAGGCAGACACTGGATATGCTTCCATGCAGGAGGAGCACAGGACATGGCCATCGCAGCTAACTCACGACAAGAACAAGTATAAGGGGTCCAAAAGGTCTTTTAAGATGATGCTATCCAGAAAGAAACCCAGGAACTCCCTCAAAGCTTCTTTTCTTTCTGTATGGAGAAAATGGTCGAAGTTAAAGGCTGCTGGCGGGGACAAGACCGATCTAAATGTCCCCGAGCCCGCCGCCTCGGAGATCGGCAGCCTGTTTATCTGCGATTGCTGTCCTAAGAAACCCAAGAAGTTTGACAATCCAGATGACTTGCGGTATGTCCTGTCTTTACTTCGTTTGCGGGCCATTCCACTAATATTAGAACTAGCGCGCATGAGATGGTGAAACAGTACTCATGCCCGTACTGCAACCACCGCTTCAAGAACAAAAATGAGGCCGAGCGGCACCGGAATCATCTTCATCTACGCCGGTATTCCTGGTCGTGTGCCACACTCATCACCTTTCAGGCAGCGTTCAACGCTTCGATATCTCCGTATAATCAAACAAATGTCGGCCCGTCTCACGATATGTGCGGGTATTGCGGCGAAGAATTCCCCAATTTTCCCCAGGCGGACTGCAATCGCCGGTTCGAACACTTGACGACCATGCACAAGTTTGGCGAGTGCAGCAACACGAAGAAGTTCTACCGCGCCGACCATTTCCGACAGCACCTGAAACATAGCCATGCTGGAACAAGCGGAAAATGGACCGATATCTTGGAAACTGCTTGCATGAAGGAAGAACATGCCCGAGCCTCAGAGTGATAACACTGGTACATCGGCCGGGGCTGGCAGTGGATCAATCTCTCTCACATACTCTCCCGCGTCGTCCTACCCTATTGGAAAGATCCTCAATAATCAATGAAAATTTTCATATTGGGCTAGAATGGGCCATAACGAGTGGAGTGCTGCCCAGGTGCCCAGGTGTTAGTACCCTGTTACTGATAACCTTAACGAGGTAACGGCCGACTATTCTTGAGTCGGCTGCTTATACGGCCTCTGTAAGACTTTAATAATCCGATCTGTCTACCTGAGTATTTGGCCTCGGACGATATCTTGGACGACCAATGTTTTTTTACTTATTCTTTCCGAATAAGTTAGGCAAGAGTTGCTGCCTACCCCACTAAAGGTTATGTAACATGTAAATTTATTACTTCGTATCTAGGTTTTGATCTAATTGTTTAACTGATTAGTCTTCTGAATCTCACAAGGCGCTCTTGGAAAACTTTTATAACTCGGCCCCAAAATGCCAGGAAGTGTTCACCTAGTCGGCCATGCGGAAGACCTTCACAATCTGCGCAACGATCATACTATTTTTGACCTTCCTTTAAGCCAACGAGGTTTTGATTTCGCCAAAGACTTGGGACGCCGTTTGTAGACGCGAACCTACAGGAAGTTACCCACCTACCGGGCAACAGTGGCTCTCCAAAAGACATGCTAGTAACGAAATTTCACAGGCTATCGCCAGAAATCAACAAACTGGTAACCGTGCCAATTGCGGGCACGTCACATGAGACCCGTCGATCATCCGAGAACGCAACCTTGTACAACATACTACGTAACTGGGTCGTGGTTCGGCTATCCGCGGTTCCTCATTGTTAAAGCCACACTCCACGTGCATACCCCCCAATCGATATCAACTAGATACAAGGCTAAATTTATTTTGTACTAACGCTAGAGGTTCCTCGGTCCCATGAATTAGGCCTGAAAATGAAGATCCAGCTAGTTTATTCAATTCGTCAAAATGGAATAAGGCCCCCCTAGGCCATAAACAGGAACCTTGGTTTTTGTTGTGAGCTAGTGGTAAAATAGCCTGTTTTTTCCAACACAATTGAATGCCTGTCACAGTAATCTTATTGCAGAAGGGAAGCATGTCGCCACAAATTAGTATTGACTCCTTGCATATTTCCTGCGCATCTATTAATTATAGTATGTGTCTCTTCTATTCCCCTTATTCCCTACACAACTCCCCAGTATAACTCCTCAATCAATCCTTTGCCAAGACTTTTCTCGTATTGATACAATTTATATCTGGTCGTTCGCGGCTTAGCCAAGACTTTTATTACGCACCAATCATAGTTGGTAACCAATATTATGCTCACCTGTCAGAATGGAATAAGGCCCCCCTAGGCCATAAACAGGAACCTTGGTTTTTGTTGTGGTCTAATGGTAAAATAGCCTGTATTTTTCCAACATCACCAGTGGACTTTTATTTAACTAATTATAATTGTTAACCATTATTATCCTAACCAGTAGCCCTAATTATAGTTTGTGAACATAGGATCCGTGAATGAGAAGGCCCAGACCAGCTAAGAAAGCTCGTGATCCCTGTGAACATATGTAAGAGTCATCCTCAATCCACATTGACAACTATGCAGTTTTTCAGGCGTATTAGGAAATTGAATGATATCATCAAATTACGCCTCTGAGAACATTTTTAGTATATTAGAGGGTGATGTCCATCGAAAGGCAATCTTAGAATTAGTAAGTAGCATGAATACTATACTTGGCACTTCCTTCTACTCATTATCACATTCTACTACTCATTATCACCTTCTACTCCCTACAATACCAATATGAGTGCGATTTGTAGCATTGTCCCAGACCACATACTCGAGAGTATTGTGGAAAAGGGCGAGGCGCCACCGCATGTCATTGACTCTTGCCAGGCTACTATTGCCAAAACAAGGGAGCTACGCGATGCACGTATCGAACATGGGCAGAGTGTTGCGTCCATTGTAGGACAAGAGCCTCCTCAAGGTATCATTCCATCTTACATCCACGAAGCTATTGCTCGGTATGCTGCTAGCCAAGGGCAATGTGAATGACTTATTCAATCACTTCGGTATGATACTGACCTACAATAGTTTCCGGAGCTGTGAAAAACCTAAACCGGACGGTTTACCATGCGCAAAACCAGACCAATGAAAGGAAGCTCCCTCGGGACGTAATCTTGATCAAGGAAGGCGGCGACCTAATCAAAAGGGAGAAGGACCTAAGTGGTGACCCAAATGAGTGCTATGTGGGATTCCAGAAAACATACGACTTCTACTTCGAATTTTTCAAACGAAACTCAATTGATAACCGCGGTCTGCAACTTGATGGTTTTGTGCATTTTGGCACCAAGTACCTGAACGCCTTCTGGGCCAATGACAAAATGGTTTTCGGCGACGGAGATGGCGTGATCTTCAACGGCTTCACTGACGAGCTAGACGTCATTGGTCACGAGCTTACTCACGGGGTGGTAGAGTACTCGGGCGGGCTGGAATATTATGATCAGAGCGGTGCTCTAAATGAATCAATTGCCGACGTCTTCGGGGCCATGATCAAACAATGGGGGGAACCCCCGGAAAGCCACAGACAGCCGCTGAGGCTAATTGGCTTATCGGGGAGGGAATCTGGGCTAAGGGCGTTAATGGCAGAGCTTTGCGAGACATGAAGGCACCTGGAACAGCTTATTCCGACAGAAGAGTGGGGTCGGATTCTCAACCAGCGCACTGGAAGGACTTCAAAAGGCTTCCGAGATCAGATGATGGTGGAGGTGTTCATAGCAACTCTGGTATCCCAAACCATGCCTTTTACCTGGCTGCTACGCTCATTGGGGGCTATTCCTGGGAGACTGCTGGCCCTGTTTGGTACAAGGCTTTGACTGGCGGGGAACTCAGGCCAAATGCAAGCTTCAAGGAGTTTGCTGACCTCACTATTATCAATGCTGGTGAGCATGAAGCAGATATTAGAGAAGCTTGGATGCAGGTCGGGTATCCTTTCTGAATAATGAAATGTCTACGAGCTACCGGTTGAGAGACTAGTCCAATGGCGTTATTTCAAAAGGTGATATCAATTTTGCTCGTCTGGTATCCGTTTTCTGAAGGATGAAATGGCCACAAGCTACTGTTTGTTAAATTAGTCAAAGGTCGTTATTTCATAGGTATATCAATCTGGCTTTCTCACTGGTCTTTAAAATATATGACTGACAACTGCCGAGCTAAGATGGTAGAAGACGTGTTGGAATTTGCAGAGGCGTCATTGTAAACCATTTCCACAAACATATTGGGTTGCTCGCATCTCCCATTAAGCTCAGTTTTATAAAGCGTTTCAAGGGTGGGTTCGGTGGGCCACATTTATGAATATGCAGGAATTAAATACGCTTCAGCGTCACAAAATGGCTCATACATTTTCAGACAGGGCCCGAGCAGCATCAGGCAATATGAGACCAACATTCTGCTCAACTGTTACTGCATTACGTTTAGCTTCATATATTACGCCAGTCCGCGACATTCGCAAAGAATGTCACCCGATCAACACAAATACCGAGTCGACTGGATAACTCTTAGACCAAGTCGGTCATCTAACGCGGGTTAGTTTCGCCTATTAGGCGGAGAGAAGATCATCACAAGTGATGCACTTCAGTGCCACTTGCCTTTCCGAACTTGAACAATTGCTCACAATTCTTGTTCTCCATAGCCAACGCCGCGCTTGTATTCTGATCATATATTGCTGCTGGTGAAGAGAATCATTCGGCCGAAATCTATTCATAACAGGACCTCCGAAATTTACGCACAACACAGAGGTTTCCACACATATTTAGCCGTTAGCTCAACAGTCGTGCTCCTATGTCACAGAATCAAGAGCATCCCCGTTCGACTGCTGTATAATAAATGTCAGCCATGGGCTCAGTCAACTTTTCGTACTAGAGTCTAACTCCCTTGCCCACGATGAAGTTGAAATTCATGACCGGGCCTGCTGGGGTTCTGATTGACCAAGTGCTTATGACACCTAGTCTAGATTAGTATTAGTGGAAGACAATCGTCGATAAAGCCCTGTTAATTTGAAGCGTTGATTATTTGGTAGCTTTGTGAGCCTCCGAGCCTTATGAGTATTGTAATGCACTGTGGTAGTCTAGCAGGCTCCTAGGAGCGTATAGTGGGCCACCAGCTCCATTTAGCAATGACGAAAAAGACTTGACGTTATACGCTCTGGAAGGGCTTTAGGTATGTGCGCTCGTTGGAAAGAAGTAACGAACTGATCCATCTTGCCTGCTGAACCTGAATCCCTTCAGTTTGTCTTTGTTACAGAGCAAGATTGTAGACTTGTTTGTAGACTGACAGAAAGCTGGTGTACGAACAATGTATGGTATAGATGACCAATTATCCTACCGGAGATTCTCACATATTACCTATAAATTTGATAGTAATGACCTTATAAAGCTGAAAGTTAGAATCTGTGTTCGTAGCGACGTATGAACTACTAGACCTCCGCAGAGCCCATAAAGCCCAAAGCCCAGCCCAACCCAACCCGCAAATGGGTTGGGTTTTATGCCTGGTCCTTAGGCCTATCGATAGGCTGTGGGCTTATACCTCGAGCCTACTGTGGGTTAATAGGGGCCTAAATAGGCCCTAAATAATATAAATATACCGAGAATTTGGATACTAAGATAAGTTAAACCCCCCTTTTAGGATTAATTAAATTACCTCTATTTTACGTCCGTTTCTTACCCTAATCCCTAAGGTAATATTTTATTAAATTTAATAATTAAGAATTAGTTACTAGTATTCCTCTATATGACGTAAAAAGATATAATAAAACGCGTTAATTAAGAAATTTTTAAAATTGTAGTTTGCTAGAAAGTAATAGTACTTCTCTAGAAACCTAGATATATATCTAATATTAAAACCACCTTTTCGGTTATATCTCGACCCTTACGGATCGGATTTTGTTTAAAATTAATATACGTATTTATAGTATTCCCTTTATTCTCAATTCTAAATTTGAACTTCATACAATCGGTAGAAGGTCGTAATATATCGATTATAGAGTCCGCTTTGTTAGCGCCTATATAGGTTTTTATAGGGGCCTACGGCCCAACTCATAGTGGGCTGTGGGTTGGGCCGGGGGCCTTGGGTCCGGGCCCATTTATGGGCTTTGCGGAGGTCTATGAACTACAACGAAAATCACGTGAAACCGCACGTGATTTTTCACGCCTGTGCACGCTTGTGAACAGCATGCATCTGCACAATTATTGCACCGAGCCTCGGTCGGCGATTTTACCCCAGAATGCGGAGAACGCATTCCATCCCCTCATGGACTAGATCTTGATACATAACCACCCTTACGGTCCAATGCATAGTCCCGTATAAGTTTCCTGAAAGTATATATCTTTATCGAGTCTTCCATTATGGCGTACAATTCTTCAAATCCCATTCCGTTCTCAGAGCCGCCTTACCTTCGTGGCCTCCCCTCTCCCTACATTACACCTGCCCACCACCGCTTCCAACAAGCATGTCGTAAATTTGCAACAGAGAACTTGATTCAGCATGCATTGGAGTGGGAGCGTGAAGGAACAGTCCCCGAGCATGTATTCCACACATTCTGCAAGCATAATATGCTGTTGCCCAACATGCCGGCCCCATTACCAGTGGATTGGCTGAAGCGCCTGGGAATCAACGATATCCTGGGTGTCAAGGTTGAAGATTGGGATTATATCTACACTGGCATTTACTGTGATGAGGTATGTTAGAAAAATAATCCGACTGTGCTCAGTTGCAGGGTTATTGACCGATGGCTTGCAAATAGATCGCCCGCTCTGGTCTTAGTGGCCCTGGTGCATCTCTAACCGCCGGATTCGCTTTTGGAATTGCACCAATCTACAAATTTGGTAGCACTGAGTTGCAAGAGCGGTTCCTACCCGATCTGCTCACAGGGAAGAAGCGAGGCTGTATTGCCATTACGGAGCCTGAGGCCGGTAGCGATGTCGCGAATATCACCACAACTGCCGTCAAGAGTGCTGATGGTCAACACTACATTCTAAACGGATCCAAGAAATGGTAAGAGGAAACTCTGTAGCACTAATAAAGCTGTGAGCTGATACCGATAACCAGGATCACGAATGGTATCTGGTCGGACTATACCACCATGGCCGTGCGAACCGGTGGACCAGGAGCCGCGGGTCTTTCTGTTTTGGTTGTGCCATTGAAGGGTCACCCCGGCGTTACAATGCGCCGACTTAAAGTCTCAGGCCAGATCACAGGCGGGACCACATACATTGAGCTCGACGACGTCAAGGTTCCTGTATCGAACATCGTTGGTAAAGAAGGCGACGGCATGCGTATTATCATGACCAACTTCAACCACGAGCGACTTGTTATTGCCGTTGGAGTCACTCGCCAGGCTCGTGTGGCCCTTTCTGCAGCTTTCTCGTACTGTCTCAAGCGCGAGGCTTTTGGAAAGACGCTCATGGATCAACCCGTGGTCCGCCATCGGTTAGCTAAGGCTGGCGCTGAGCTTGAATCTATGTGGGCGTGGGTTGAGCAAATCTTGTACCAACTGGTCCATCTCAGCAAAGAGGAAGGTGATCGTCAACTTGGTGGCTTAACGGCATTGGCTAAAGCGAAGTCCGCTATGGTTCTAAATGAGTGTGCCCAAACAGCGGTGTTGTTGTTTGGAGGAAGTGGATTTACCAAAACTGGTCAGGGTGAATTGGTCGAAGGTATGTTCGCTGGGTTCTCGGTATGTGCTCGGAACAAGCTAACCACGCCTCTAGCTATTCTTCGCGATGTTCCCGGTGCCCGTATTCCGGGCGGCTCGGAGGACGTGCTCCTCGATCTGTCTGTGCGTCAATTAGTCAAGCTCTATCAGGCTGAAGAGAAGAAGCTCTCACAGAATGCCAAGATTTGATTTGGTTATAATTAGACCGTTGGATCTTTGGGTATTACTTATTCGGCTTTGTGGTAAATATACTCGAACTCCATTTATGTCAATACACAGTATAATATTGCCTTCTATCAGGGTTTTGTTAATGCAGTTGAACATAATCATACCAAATTTAAAACACATGGGCTCTCCGCTAGTGGATTACCACATCTAGTAGCACGTCCGAAGCAGAGTCGAAATTGGCACTCATCTTGGCCTGTAGAAGTACGTGAAATCAAGCGGCATCATATGGTACTCCCTTGAGTCTGAGTTTGACTACAGTCATAAAGGCTTGTACAGCATCATGGCCTTTGAATTTGAAAGCTAGATTGTCCCCCTCACTGGTATTTGGAATAATTCTGCTATAATCTAATAGCAAACAGCAATTAACCGTTTCCTTCCCGACAAAATGAGAATTGATATCAAAGGACGGCGTGCAAGACCTCCATACCCGTGCACAATCCCTCGGGGAAATACCTGCGTGAGCCAGATTCGGTTCGAGCCTTGTGAAGGATGGGCGCAATCTTCTCGTAAACCTCGTAAACTTCGCGGGTTTCATGGTCTTCAAGTACCTATTTTGTAGCTTTTCTCCAGGGCGTTCTTCTTGTGGGCTTAGTGGGCTCCGTCGGCTTCTTGTATTCTATGTCTGCTCGTGGGCCCGCTATCTTTCAGGGTGTATTATGGTTTCTTTGGGAAAGCTTTCCTTGGAACCATTTTCCTCTTGTTCATCAAATCCTTCAGTACGGGGTATCTCTGTGCCGTGGGGAGGTCCAGTGGACATCCCCATTCGATTATTTGATTTGCACAAGCCCCGTGCTCCAAGAGTAGCTCTATCATGATAGTATTGATCACATGTTGCCTTGTACCTTTCTTTTGGTTATCGCACGGTGTTGTCAACAGCTTCCAAATGATTTCGCCTCCGCTTTTTCCACGACAACGAGTGTTCACCCCTGGTTTCAAGAGACGTTCCAAGATGCTCGGATTACCAAATCTGATACCTAGTGCTGTCCTTCCATGTCTGTTGTTTATGTTAACATCGGCACCAGACCGCAAGAGCAATTCTACAAACTGCGTTTGGGCTTTCATATCTCCCAAGAATGCGTTATGGGAGAAGACAACATGAAGGGGAGTGTTTCCTTTCGAATCTTGTGCGTTTAAATCTGCACCAGAATTGAGAAACAGACTGAATAGTTTCTCTGGCGATTTCCATGGGCTCTTGGGAATCCTGTGCAGGGCAGTAGACAAGGTGCCATCAGACTTGAAATGAGGATCTGCCCCGTTAGCCACAAGCAACTGGGTCACAGCAAAAGACTCATTCTCTCCTTTAGATTTTAGCAAACCATCATATAGTACCTTCCTGACCCATAAGCATGATTTTCCTTTTCGGGATGAGTTGCCAAATTCAAGAGCACATCCAAGAGGGGTAAGCCGGCATATCTGGCCCACAAGGTCTACATGGGCGCCATGCTGGAGGAGTAAACTCGTTATATCGTAGTATCCCAGAGTCGCAGCATATCCCAAGGCGGAAATGTCTGTTCCGAGATTGACTTGAGCTCCATTGCGCAGAATGAGCTCCACCATATTCGTACGGCCAGACCTGATGGCAAGGAGCAAAGGCGTGTTGATCGAACTGGCCCGTGAAGCCACTGGAATGTTCACGTCTAGGTTGTTGCGCGATATTAGGTGCTGCGTCTCCCGTTCAAATCCCCTCTGCAACAGCCATGGCAGTGCATAACATATAGTACGTATGTCTTGTTTGTAAAGGACATCAATCAAGGTATCATAAAGCACACGATTGCATCGCAGAAGTGAGAGTCTATCTCTGTTCTCTGGCAGATATGATGCAACAAGACAGATTATCTCGAAGGGCAAGGAATCAAGATACATTTTGAAATAAGATTGGAACTCTACCCACACAAGAGGGATAATCTTAGTACATAAGCAAGTTGAGGAGGGGATATGTAATGATCATCAATTCAGTTAACCAATGTTTAGCTCTAAAGTTTCAGGAACCTACTATGTATGACTTAATCGTATACACTTTACCGTTTATTAACCGTTTGTTATCTGCACAACGCGTTTGATACCTTGTGATATTTGACCCGTAATTTCTACTAATTCAGTGGGCGTCTTCAAGCATAGCATGGTGAAGTTCAATGTTTGATCACCTGCCTCTGGTATTGACGTGACCATCCATCATACAAGTCTAGCCTTCACACTCAACCTTGGGATATACAACAAGAGGAACCTTGTATACCCAAGGAACATCCCGATTCAACATAGTAACCATTCCTTTCTAAGGGGTTTCCATGGATATATTGCATTTCGGACAATTTCATGACCGATTGGGTATACCATGATTATATCTCCTGTGTGATTCAGCCAAAAGATTTTTTTCTGTCATCTCTAAGACTTGGAAGGTACAATTATAAATAACTTAAGGAGGCTTCCGGTAATGCTTCACTCTCTTGCTTCCGCAGTACAAGACCATGGGTACTGGGTCCATATGTAGCTCGAGGCTGTTAAGAAATTGATCACGCATTCATTAAGCAGATCGATCATAGCATCAATCCTACTGGCGTCATGGAAGTGCATCAACTGGCAATCAAGGGTCAATGGTCCTAGAGCCCTGGAGAGAGATGTGAGGATGATAAACAAAGCACAGTTAAATTTGCTACATATCACCTGGACACGCACCTTTCCCCATCTCCACCGCCATCACCGCTTTTTGCTTAAGATGTTAGCAAATGAGGAACAGAATGCGAGACTACAGACAACTCAACACTAAACATTGTACTCCTCAGGCGGTAGTCGTGATCTAACCGATGATTACAGCCTAATAAAGCCCACTGGAGAATCCAGTCGGGTAGCACAAAAGAACGTCCTTTCAAGCATTGTAAGGCCTAGAGCATCTGTTTCAGTTACTCCTCCCAGTTGAAATTAACGACAATCCGCCCTGCCACCTGCCCCTTTCGCAACTTCTCAACTCCTTCGGGCAATCGATTGATAGGATAAACCTCGGAAACTTGCTGCAGCATACCTCTCTTCGCGAAATCCAATGCAGCAGCAGTATCGCTCCGAGTACCCACTAAAGACCCCTTAATGCTAAGGTTCTTGAAGACAAACTCACAGGGATCGGCCCCTAGAATGGTTGAACCAGCAGGAGGTATTCCAATACACATAACAACAGCCCCAATCCGCTGACCAACATAAGAGACGGCATTTTTGTATGCTGCAGGTGCAGTGACGAAAACACCGTGGACTCCTACTCCGTCCGCGGTTTCGATCACAGATTTCACGGAATCCTTAGTTTCTTTGAAATCGATAAAAGCCTCTGCTCCCATTTTGAGGGATAACTTGCGCTTAGAGTCACCTGTGTCAACGACAATAGGTCGCATTCCCATGGCTTTAGCGAGTTGTACGCCCTGGATACCCACACCACCTCCTCCGCCTGGGAAGACTACCCAGGATCCGGCGTGAAGATTGGATTCAGCGAGTGAACGGTACATCGTGCTTGCGCTACACATAATCGGTGCGGCGACTTCATCGGGGACACCGTCTGGAATAGGCGATGCGTAGCGTGCGGGAGAAATAATGTAATGTTGATATGTACCTAGAGATCTGTAAGAATTATTTCCATAAATTAAAGTGATTTAACTTGCCAGCTGTCATCAAACCAGTGTGAATAGCCGTTTTGCAATATGTTTCTTTATGATCCCAGCACATTGCGCAAGATCCGCAAGTATCAGTGATCGGCTTGATGCCTGCCCTATCACCCAGCTTGAAGTTCTTAACATTCGCCCCAGCTTTGACAACGATACCGGCGCCTTCGTGGCCCGGAGATCGCACGCCGAATGTGGACATCGGTGGCAGACCGAGATCGCCTTTCATCATATGGATATCGGACGAGCAGAGGCCGGTGAAATTGAGCCGAATTAAGATATCATCGGGCCCTGGTAAGACCTTCTTAGCAAATCGACCATAGAAGATGCCTATTGGTATATAAATACTCACCAGGCTCAGGGACAGGTACCATCTGCACCTCAACCCGAAAATTGGGCCCCTCATCAACGACTACGCCGGCTTTGCATAGAGCTGGGATATCAAACTTCAGAGTCTCGGTTTGGGGAATCATTTTAAATTGTACTGATGTAAGAAAATGAGTTGAAAGACTTTTAATCCCATTTGGAATTCACGCTCCAGTGTGGGTGGTATAAGAACTACGTCGAATAGTGAATCAGACACCGAGGCAACCAGTTGCGGAAACCGACCGCTGCGCTGCGATGCATTTTGTTACTGCGTACTCCATATTTCCATCGGCTTGGCTTTTATTTTACCCTATTTTCCCTCCTCAGAGAGGTGTGTTTCTCCCGTATTTCCGTTTATATCCGAACAAGCCTGAGCTGTGGATTAGGAAGCCGAAGAGCTACATGTATTAAACCTCATGCTATAAATTATATGCCAGACTTCCGTTTCCTCTAATCAATATGAGACTCTGTAGTTTCAGGATTTCCCCTGAATCACGCTCATTTGTATATGTTCAAGTATAAAGGGGAATTTTTCAATATTTCAAGCCGGGTTGGAGAGGCGGAATACTTCCGTTGAGAGCAGTCGCCTTTTCGCTTTTTGGCATATCACATCTCGTATATGTTTCTGCTACTACCTTCAGATAACGTCTCGAAGATGAAGTTTAGATGATCTTATTCGTATGGGTGGCGGACCCTCGCACATCAACTTTTGATGATAAGGGCTGAATATCATTTGGGGAATAGATATATGACCATTGACGCACTGTTCTCCGTCTCCAATGGGGTTACTCTGTGTAATAACGTTTACTATTTGTGGATCTTCTAGGTATAGTCCACATAAAAGGACTCCAAACGAGCCTTTCAAAATGACGACTTCACTAAAAGGCTTAAGTAAATGTGCCCGCTATCGATATCCCGCCAATTCCGCCATCAGCCAAGTTCCGCAGATATATCAAACGGGATATAATGGCGAATACAGGCGTACAAAGCCAGAAGGGTCACCTAAATACATTAGCAGGCCTTAACCGAGGAGTGTGGGGATAATCCGCAGTCGAGTGGAGACACACCAGAACTTAGTCCCCGCATTCTAATCCTGGCAGACCAGCCGTAAGCCCTAATTTTTCTTATAAGCACTTTGGGTGGTTACTATTTTCGGCTAAATGGCCTTTGGATGAGTTACCATAATATGCACATGCGGAGAACATACGTGATTGCCGAAGCGGATCCACGATGTGCCAGTCCTCTATTAAATGCTTGGTTGGCACTTCCGGCGGAATTCCGCACAGGCATAGCCATGCTAGCCGCGTTGAAACATAAACGGATGGGAGTCTGGCTTTGAGTGGTGCAGATCCAAACAATTCAATACGCTAAACATTCAATCTTACACCAACAAGCCTTTTACTAGTAACGTACCTAGCTACCTAGCAGGACGAATTAATCCACCATGGAGATGAACTATGATGAAGGCGTGAGTACATCTCGGTGCAGGCGCCACGACAGTTGGCAAACTAACAAGTAGTCCTCTCTAGGCTCTCCATCAGTAAGAATGCCTATCACCTGTGGAAATCTGTCTGTGCTAATTATCTTACTCTTACTTTAGAATTGAGGAGGAGCTGGGAACAACCATCTATCCGGGCACGGAGATCATGGCTGATGTGGGCACACATCATTTTGTGAAGTCCTCAGCGAAGTCTAGCCGGGTTCTGGTGCCCCAACCTTCGCAGGATCCTCATGATCCCCTGGTAGGTCTCTCCAAAGGAACTCTATCAGAAGAAAATTTGTTCTAAGTCTACGCTAAATAGAACTGGAGCCCGTTTTGGAAGATGAGCGTGATGGCCATTACCACGGCAACATCATTCAGTCAGGGCTTGGGACCTCTGGCGTTGGCCCCTATGTTTCCACAACTAATGGAATCATTTGATTCTGATCTCCCGGGCGTTATGCAATTTACAGGAATCTGCATTTTGGTGCTAGGATTTAGCAATTTCTTCTGGTAGACTTCCATCCGCTAACTCAAGAAATGAAATCACTAACAACTAGCGGTGCAGGATTCCCCTTCAAACATGCTACGGTCGACGACCTGTCCTGATATTTTCAACCCTCATCTGCCTCATTAGCAATATCTGGCGTGCAGTAGCAACCAGTTACGGCAGTTATATAGGCGCTTGTGTGCTTAATGGATTTGGTGCCGGTCCCGCAGAGGTTTGTCGCAATTCCCGAGAACTCGCTGCTTGGTTGTTACAGAGTTAACCATTTACCCTAGACTTCTCAACCCGAGGTTACCGCTGATATTATATTCCTCCACGAGCGTGGCGCGTACAACACTTTGTATTTCACAGCGTACTTTGGTTCAATGATAGTAAGGAGACTCACCCACCTCTAGGAGGCCATTCATTGACATTACATAGGTCGGGCCTATTCTAGCAGGCTCAATGGCTGAGCACGTGGGCTAGCGCAGCTTCTTTTGGTTGAACGTGGGTCTCCTAGGCCTCGTGCTCATCTTGCAGATTGCCCTCTTCCCCGAAACTAAATGGCACCGTGTTCACCCTAATGAGGCACATGGGGCACCAAATACAGACCAGAAGACAAATGAGTCAGATCCTGAGAAGTTGGTCGAAGTATCACAGCATGAGAATATCCAAATGGAAGTCCATTCTGACCAGGATCCATATCTGCACCGTGGTGGTCCTTCGAAGCAGCAATTCAAGCTATGGCAGGTAGATGGTGTTACCTTCAAATCTGTCCTTAACAGCTTCTGGATTCCCTGGAAAATGTTGACATTCCCTATCGTTATGTTTTCTGCCTTTGTTGTGTCTTGGACGTCAAGTTGCTTCTTGACACTTAATCTTACGCAAAGCCAAGCCTTCGCAAAGCCACCATATAACTTTGACAGCCAGACCATCGGGTTTTTCAACTTCGCCATTTTGATTGGAGCATTTATTGGGCTGGCAACCAATGGTCCTTTTTCGGATTGGATTTCTATGAGAGCGACTCGCAAAAACAATGGTGTTCGAGAGCCGGAAATGCGTCTACCGGCCATGGCAGTCTATGTTGTGATTATGATCATTGGCAATTTCGTTGTTGCGTTTGGATATGAATATAAATGGGATTGGCGGGTAAGTCCTTTATGTTTCTAATACTTGCGAAAATTGATCTGACTATCGCAGGCAATTGTAATTATTGGGTATACTGCAGCTGGTATCCAGGTTGCAGTTCTACCAGCCATCGCCAGTACCTACGCCGTCGACAGCTATAAGCCTGTTGCAGGCTCGATTTTCGTGTCTATTACTGTGAATAAGAATTTGTGGGGATATGGCTTCAGCAATTTCATCACTAAATGGGTCGAGGAAAATGGATTTATCAAGCCCATTATGATGAATATGTGTTTGTGCACGGTGTGGTGTCTCTTTGCGATCCCATTCTACTTTTACGGGAAGAAATTCAGAGGGTGGACCGCCAAGTCCTCTGTACACAAGCTATAAACCACCGCCTTTGGAGCTAGTTGGTGGAGGTTAGATCGAGTTACAATGTCTAACACCATCATATTCGTGACGAATTGCTTTGATAAGATATATATTACGTGAAACATCCCTACATATGTATTCAGATCGTATTATCTACATCATCTTCTCATGATGGCATTTGATATTTTAAAGATTAAGGGATTGCCAGAAATTATATAGTACACATTATTAACTGTGTTTCCTCGTAGACTGGCCATGTATGAAATTATTATGCAAGTGTTATGCTGATGATCCAAGTCGAGCTTTCCCAATATAGTTTAGCTCAACCTCGGGATGACGAAAGACACTGCCTAGATGGATTTCTCCAGAGCTCCTTCTGCGCTCTCCTGATATCTTATACTATACAAACACAACGGACGTCTATTCTAATTACAACTCCGTATACACAAACATGGCGAATGTCGCATTAATTGGTGGTACGGGTATGGTGGTAAGTGCACATACCACAACCAAAGCTCCTCAATCTAGTTGTCTGGAAATATCCCGAACTTGAGCTAAGTCGCATAACCAACAGGGCTCTCATATCCTCACCAGCCTTATTTCCAACCCCGCTGTAACCCGCGTGGACACCATCTCCCGCCGCACCCCGCCAGCCACTACCGACGCGCCCCCAGCTAAACTCACCAACTTCGTCTCCGGCGATACCGCCACCTGGGCAAACCAGCTCACCTCCCTATCCCCGACCCCCAGCATCTTCTTTTCCGCCTTCGGAACCACAAAAGCAGCCGCAGGCGGGTTTGACAATCAATACAAAATCGAGCATGGGCTGAACGTCGAGTTGGCCAAGGCCGCGCACGAAGCTGGCACCAAGGTTTACGTGCTGATCTCCTCCACCGGCGCCAATAAAGATTCCAACATTGCCTACTCCCGCATGAAGGGTGAAATCGAGGAGGATATCAAGAAGCTGGGCTTTGAGCGCATGGTTATCCTACGTCCTGGGCTGATTGCTGGTACTCGTGAGGAAAGCCGGCCACTCGAGGCTGGGTTTCGGTTCCTTGCGAATTGGACTGGCAAGCTGCACTCCAGTCTGAAAGATGGATGGGCCCAAGAGGCGGATGTTATTGGCAAAGCTGCTGTCAATGCTGGTCTCAAGGCTCTAGAAGGTGATGTCCCTGAGGGCAGTGAGAAAGTTTGGACCTTGTTTGGCAGTGATATTATCAAATACGGCAAGGAAACCTAGTCTTAAGCGCCGTAGTGCGTCAGAATAAGTTATTTTTGTATGTAAATACATACACTTCTAATTCTTATGTTACGGGATTTATGACGTTACGCGGCCATGGACACCCTACTTGATAGCATTGATTGAAACTCAGTATAGCATGTATTTTAGAAATGCCGAACTCCCTACACAACGTGATCATCTACCACTCGTGATACTATAAACAAAGAACGCATTCAATCCCGATACGAAACATGAGTCCCATCCTCCTTCACATGGATACGACGACCCTTCTTCGGCGCCCCACGAGAGCTAGAAGCCCCGCGATCCCGATTCCGATCGGGCCCATCCTCATCCTGGCGCCTCCAAGCGCTAGCATCCCTATTGGCCGGGCTCATATTTAGAGGGCTTTCCTTCTTGCCTTCTTGCTTGCTTTCCTCTTCAGTAGCCGCGAGCTCGCTCTCAGGTGCTGTATTCTTTGGGTCGAATGCAGAGGGGTGCTTGGCGACTTCGCTATCCGTACCAGATTTGGCAGTCTCTGAGCGCTCTGGATTCAAGGTTTCACGGTTGAGCGAACTCTGGCCCTCTTCGATCTGGTGGAGTGGGGTTGTGCTGAAGGGCATTCTTGTTGCTATTGGGGTGGCGAGGGATTGGGTGGTGGTTTTTGAGAGCTGGCTCCGGCTGGCTCGGGTGGCTTGCTGGCCTGCTGAAATGATGGTTTTCCACATTTTGTGAATTGCGAATGTGATGGCTTCAGGCGTGGATTGAAGTGGTTCGTATAGATATCTCGTTGAGGTTGTACTTAGGTACTCAAATTGTAGGAGGTCAAGGATTGGGGGGAAAAAGCAACAAGATAAAAGAATTGCTTGTTTCAAGGTTGCTGCTATCGGAGAGAATCCATTCGAAGAAGTCTGTCATTCTTTTCTGTGTTCCAAGTTCTCTAGACCTTGGTATCATATTGACGTCACTTGGTCAGAAACAGTCAGACTAACCTAATCTGGTAATGAGCTTGCCCTAAGAGGCCGGCTTCATACAAATAGGACCAAAGGGGACTTGGGAGTTTTAGTTACTAATTTGGGGTGACTTTATATATTATTTTATTCAAATATATATCGGCGTTTGTGGAATATCTGCCATGTCCATATTATTCCTATAATATGTACCTAAAGACAAGGGAAGTGGTTGATGTAGAAGCAAGGTGTCAGCGGTTTGCGAATAAACTAAACGAAAATTAGGAAGAGAAACAAAAAAGTTCCTATCGAAATCTTCCCTAGTGGCGCTGCTTCTGTCTGATGTGGAAGCTTCTTGGGGCTCTATTAGGGCCAATCATCCAGCGATGAGGGCCAATATGTGACTTGCGGTCGAATAAGTAGTGATAAACGCTGCAAGCAATATTGAGCCGGTCATAGAGGCTCCGTCCTTTGTCACAAACCTACTTTTAGTCAACAGTCACGCCAGTTCATATTATGACGGCTGGCGGGCCACCGGCCAGAGGATGCCACCAAAGGATGCATGGGAAGGTGACGTTACTCATTTCCGACGTCCCAGTAATACGCAGAGGCGCCGCTATAGAGGGGGTTCGAGCGTGCGCAGAGGGAGAACTGACTCGAGAGTGAAGCGTGCCCAAACTCACCAGGATATTCGAACAAAAGCCATTGCTGATTCGTCAGTCTCGTAGTCTCGTATGCATGCACCCACTTCATTTTGAAGTTCTTCGGCATTTTCTCAATCGTGGTATCATAGCATCACATATAAATTCGAATGGACAACCCGAAGTTGCCCTTGGTCAATTCGCAGAAGTACAAGGTAGAGGGATTCTTGGGCATTACATCCAACATAGGTTGTTCTAAATGATGCCAGAAGAAACAGAAAAGAAAATAGAACACCTAGAACGTGATTTAGTAGTCTGTTTATAATGTATGTCGTAGGTGAAGTATCTGGACATGGGCCCGGGGAGGAATATCTGTGACAACTGGGAACACGCGAATCCGAGGGCCAACCCAGAGAGAGAGAGAGGGAGTACGACCCACCAATGAGAGGTGGGCGTATGCCGCACCCTACGCAAGTGCTGATGAAATGCACATGCCTTTTTGGTGCAGGATGGGTGGGGAAAGGTCTCGTTAGTTGCATACAACTGACATCCCAGCTGACGGTTGCCATTGGACGATTGGGCCGGCTGTAGGTGAGGATAAGTCAATCAGCCGACCAATCCCCGTACAATTAAGAAAATGTAAGCAGTGGGCCTTTGCTGACCAGCACCGAAGGTAGCGTTACCTTCAACGATTTGTCGCCGGTAAAAGGCAGGCGTGTGTAGGGTGCGGGAGCCTCCGTTCACTTTTAGATCACGAGATCAGAAGAGCCCGGCGCTGTGGAAGCCTGTATGCGGGTCCTAGAATTCAATTCCAACGTTGAAACACGAGCTTCCCAGGTTGGTAGCACTCAAGATTGGCCTGTGGTCGCTCTAACTAGATCAAAAATGCTCTAGTATTTCACCCGGCAACTTCGCTTGTTGGGCAGAAACGACAACCATGCTTTTCCCACACACACTCGGCCTGATCCTTGCGAGGACAAAGATTGGTACATTAAGAATGGGCAAGGGGATTTCGGTGGTAAGACGGAGCGAGAGGCAAAAGAGCAGGGGGGCTTGAGAAGTTGATTCGAGAGTTTTTTCGGCCTGGATGCAACCAGCTTGCCACAGCAAAGAATAGATCCACCGAGTGCGACGGCCATTTAGCGGCTGTGAGCCATCATCAGGGATGCCAGTTGCCAACTCAACATCTTGCCATGGATCATCTTTCTGGGTCCAATTCCGGGCGTGATTGAGCGGTATTCCCCGACGATCGCTTGTCGTATTGGCGCATCGCCCAGAACAATCGGTCAAAACGGCAAGCAATGAATTCTGCAGGATTTTCCATTCCATATTGGCAATCAGCCATATTTCGTCATTGTCAATAACGTGAATGGCGTCTGGATCCTTGGTGGAGCTTGCATATAATCCCTAAGCGGCGATCCACGGCTTTCGACCGGCCCTCGCTACCAAGAATTGATGCAGACAGCCAGAAACAACGTGCCACGTCAGAGTCTCTGAGCATTGGTGCAGCTGCATGTGGTTCAGCAATATGTGGAATGTGTCACGGTTCGTGTCTGCAGCGAGCGCCGTACATCAATCCGATCCTATCATTTCCGCCAAAGGAAGCAAGTGGATGATGATGAACACACACATGAGCGGGGGCAAATGCAGCTTCCCTCTTTGCAGGAGTGAGAGATCAGCTGAACGAAAATGGATCTATCTGGCCTGCATCCCTAAGTTTTGGGGTGTGGCACAAGAAATTTGAATTGCGTAGTCCGTGTCCCTGAGCCCGAGTACCAATTATAGAGCCTCAGAGTTTCTGGCATTGCCACTTAAGTGAGGGCTATTGGCTGAGAGTCACGAACCGGAAAGGTGCGGCAGGGGTGAAAAGACGGCAGAGCCTAAACTTTGATAGACTGGCGAGTAAGGCTCGGCAGGAATAACACAAGACGACAGGGGCTAATGGTTGCAACCACATGCTGAGACCCAATATGAGTGTCCATTATTGCCCAAATGCGGGAGACGTAAGAGCCATGAAGACGAGCGAAGGCAATAACTCGGGATGTGCATGCGTATGCAATCACACAGACAGCAATATCGGATAGATACTTCTGCTGATAAAACATGGCGTTCGGCCAGAATCCCGTGTCAGTGCTCATGATAGATGAGGGACTGAGCCAATCAATAATTGCAGCTGTCGAAAAATCACATCAAGATAGAACAACCCATTGTGGTGGAGTCACAAGTGGCGTGCAGAGTCCCATCACATTCACGAAGGCAGTAGCTTTTGTCTTGCATAGAGACAGGGTTATCCCTGGGCATGAAAGCCTGATTATTGCATCAATACGACAGCTGGCAAGTACCGGGACCGACTCGACCATGCAGGATCAGGCATGCAAAACGCAAGAGAATCACAGGAGTGCGAGTCCATGCGAACAGCATCCACATGAAAGCGGGGAGAGGCAGATGGCGACGGCATAATTGCAGTAGTCGAATCTGGAAACTAGAGGATTTGCAGCCATGAATTGAGGGATTTTCGACCCATCGTACATCATCACCATGAGGAGGGAATCGCCACGGCTGAGGGTTGCATGCATCCATGAAGCAATGGTTGTTCATAGTGGCTCCATTCCAGATACCATGGCCATCATACCGTCTCCACTGCTTGGAGAACTGCTCACAGCCAACCGGATCAACCGTCAGGCAGGTGCAATGTGAAATCCATAGACTGGAACCACGGATGATAAGCCATCGGGCACTGACAAACGTCGATCAACAGTGGGACGAGGCAAATATGGGATAATAATGCCGTGGCATAGAAACTTCGTCCGAAACATAAATAAGCCTGTCAACGCCCCCATGATGTCGTGAAGTTCTCAATCATCCCTCCAGTTTCATAATTCGAGTCTGAAATCTTCAAGCCCGGCCAATAGATTTTCTTCATTAAAAGGATTGATTCGAAATTTGTTTCAACTTTGTTGAGCTTTCCGGATCGTTTAAAACCTCAGACCAAGGCCGGCCTATCAAATCCGACAAGCGCGGGTGTACTGTCAGGTGCAACCAATAGCAATCCGGCATTCAAGCTGAAACACAGACGGAGAGCCGTGAGAAAGTGGGTTATGTCGTACTTGCAGATTGAGCAGCACTGACAGATCTGATAGGCATGTGCTTCTACAACCAAAAGAGATTTGCGTGTGGAGACTGGAGCTGGACCAGCTTTGCTCACCGATGCAACTATGAATACCGCACCGGCGAGACATGCGGTATGAGACTCGTCAACATGACCGAGAATGAGAAGACCAACTGTCGTCTCTGTGAAAAAATCGAAACCAAATATCGCAGGCGTAGTGCCGAAGTCGACCGTTTAGACCGGTGGAAGCGAGAGGGTGCCACACTTGTGGCCTCAATGGATCGGTCTCACAAACTCATTATGGACCTGGAGAAGGAGATCCGCTCCCTGCAGCGGGAGCGGGACGACCGAAGGAGCACACTCCTAAGATAGGATTGGCTTGGATTTGTACAACCGGTGTTCCTTTGGGGGGTTTGGGGGGTTTTTTTTCTTTTCTTTTTTGTTGGACAGGTGGACAGCAATTGTGTTGACTTGTTTCAGGTCATTGGTGGCCGATTGTCCTGTTGTTCTTTTGTTACCTGTCACTGTTTCTTTAGGGGGATTTGCAGCGAGTTACCATGTTTCACCATTTGTCCGTGACATTAAGTCCGAATCGAGTTTCTGCAAAGTGATGGGAGGACAATATCGCCTTTGAATAGATTGACGAAAATTTTGATTGGTTCAGACTCCATATTTCTTTCCGTCCATAGGCTGTTAAGCTCCCAAAAAAATGTCAATAGGGACTAGCCATGTCATAAGCGCCCCGTTTCCTGGGTGAGCGGTTCGCTGAGACAGATTGAGTCTCACAGGACAAGGAGTGGCACCTGCTGCAACTAGACAAAAAGGCGACTGAGGCCTGACGAATATTAAATGGCCATTCAGAATCGAAATAATCCTTGAAATGAGATCAGTGGTGTCTGGTGTCAGAGCGAGGGTAAATAGTGCGGAATAAAATGCCCCTCATCACATTCCCCCCACGTGATGATCCCCCTGCTTATAACGTGATAAGATGAACCTGTCACAAAGGAGATGGATCTTGAGTAGGGTCCTAGGGTAGAGGTGAAGGCAAGTGAAAGCTGTTCTGCTGGTACATTAGTGTTGTGAGGAGGTCTCTCAGAGCTAATGTGGGTTAAGGTGGGTTCCACTTCCCTTCCTCTATACCCCCCGGGGCCCATGGACAAATCCAACGTTTCAAATCTTCAATCCAGCTTGAAAACGATGAATGTGAGGTATCTAGGTAGAATAGTGACAGACTCGATAGGTGTTAATGACATGGATGAAGAGAGAAAGAGAAAAGGGAAGAGATATTCAACCGAAGGCCTCAGAACGGCGAGGCTGGGAACTATATATTATGACACTATAATCGGAGAATTTACTTGCGCTGGCTAGAACCTGCATGCCCCTAAGCAACACCCATGTCTCTTCAGCCTACGTGTACCTATCTGCTTTAACATCTTCAAGATAAATAGCGTCAAATTGGGATGCAGAACTGAAGGAGAGCGCTGAGACTGGGCCGATGTGCATGCCACGTCACAAGAACAACACCAGGTGCAGCCATAAACAAAAACACACGCGACAGATAAAAGACCAGTATTTTGTTTGGACATGAGGTGATGCTAGGATATTGCAACCGGATGATTATGGTCAAAGTATTGGATTCGAGTATCTGAAATGGCAAAAGAATAAGAGAGGATTTAATCTATTTTATGTCACCAGCCTCGGGCTCGTCATCAACCTTGGCTAGCCCTTGTTCTCGGAGAAGGGAATCAATCTCATCTGCAGTCCATAGGTGGTGGTAAATCTTGCCATCCTTGGTCTTGCCCACTGTTGCGAACTCGACTGCGCGAGGTAGAAATGTTAGTTTGATGAAACAAAATACAAAAGCAACACCCGGAAAAACTCACTCTTCTCACTACTAAGCTTTGTGGAGTCCATAGTCTTGCTCAGCACCTTGACAGCCATAGCACAAGCCTCCTTCAGATCGCAGTCCTCCTTGTAATCTTGTTTGAGGAGACTCTGCGCACTTGCGTTGTTTGCGCCAACGCTCGTCGCTTTCCAGCCTCCGTAATTTCCACTGGGGTTGCTCTGGTACAACTGGAATTGACGGAGGTGGTCGTATCCGGCGTAGATGAAGGAGACACCGAACGGACGAAGACCTCCGTGTTGGGTATATCCTTGCTTCAGATCACACAGCCGGCGGACAAGCTGTTCACATGGAATGTCTTCGTTGTACGTGAGGAGGTAGCGTTGGGCGTTCTGGCGAGCATAGTTGATCAGAATGTTGGCATCGGCGTTCATACCCGCAACGGCGCAGATCATGTTACTGGAAAATATTAGCCACTTATCCAAACATTGAACACAGTAAATCTGGTTATTTGATTCGAGATGGAAGGGGGGTGAGCGTACTCGTTGATTGTGTAGAGCTTCTCAGCGGAGGTATCCTGCTCCAACAGCTTGCTGGTCACCTTCCTCTCAGCAGCGAGGACAATTCCATCCTTGGCTAAGATACCAAGGGCTGTGCCGGCATGAGAAATAGCCTCAAGCGCATATTCAACCTGGTAAAGTCGACCCTCTGGGGAGAAGATGGTGGTCTTTCCAACAGCGTCATAGGTTAGCTGGAGCTGCACAAAAGGAATGACGGTGTGAACAAACCCTCGAATCGTATCTCCGAGACATCGTGTATGAATAAAACAAGCAACAAAAACTCAAAAATGGGCTAAAAGTAAGGGTTGATTGTGCGAGAGAGGTGGTTCGGGATGGTGAAGGTCGGTGGTGAAGACGTAGAAGCTCCAGGCAACTCGCCCTGGCGCGTCCTCTGTCATCCGCCAAGCCCGGACCACTTCACCACACCAAAGCTTCGTTGCGACGATTTCACCACTTTGACCCGCCAAGGACGGACTACGAGGCCGACTTCCCCATTTCTTTGCTTTTCAATTGATTTATCCTAGTCGTCATGCTCAGATCAACATACACCGCTCCTCCCCCTTTGCCTTCGGGATGGACACAACATCGAGCCCCCACAGGTTAATCTTGCGCTGGGTCCGAGTAAAAAGTTTTGGCCATGCTAACTCTTAACCCAGGTCATTTGTACTATTATAATTCTTCAACAAAACAATCGACATATACCCGCCCTCAAGAAACAGCCTCTCAGCCCATTCAGGCCGCCCCCGATACCCCAGAAGCAATATACAATCCCGAGACTCTACCTCCATTTTCTTCAACTCCCTATGGGCCGACAGGGTTTGGCACTGGGCCAGGGCAATTTGGCCCACCACAAAACTTTCGCGGCCGCGGAGGATTCCGCGGTGGGAGAGGTTATCATGATCGTGGACGGAGAGGACCCGAAGATCGACCAAAAGCAAAGCATCCTATTCCTGACTGCGCCCCGTGGCTACTAGTAAAGACCAAGCTTGGGAGGAGATTCGTGCACAATCCAGAAACAAACGAAAGTTTTTGGAAATTCCCAGAGCAAGTTTTAAAGGGCGTGGTCGAATTTGATCGCCTCGAGCGTGAGAAGAAGGAAAAAATAGAACGGGGGGAGGCCGAGATGCCAGCCAAAAAGGAATCACCCACACCGCAGGATGGTGGCATAGAGCCCCAGCCGACACCGCAAGAAGCGGAACACGCAGACTATGACTCCGAATATGAAGAGGTCGAGGTTACAGACAGCGAGGGAGAAGAGGGCCAACCATCAAAGCGTGCACGAGCTGAAAGTGAGGGCGCCAAGGATCAGCCTCTAGAGTTTAATGAAGAAGACATGGCATATCAACTAGCAGCAATGGGTGAAGACTACGGACTGGACCCTGGGGAATATGGTGAGGCCGGGGAAGAAGACTGGGAAGAGGGTGCAGAGGGCCTACCGCTGACAGAGGCCGATGCTGAGGCCCTCTTCCGCGACTTGCTAGATGACTTCGGAATCAACCCATTCACGACATGGGAAAACGTCATTGAAGAAGGCCGCATCATTGAAGATACCCGGTATACCGCACCCTCGAACATGAAGACACGGAGAGAGATCTTTTCCAATTGGACCCGGGACCGAATCCAATATGTGAAAGAGCAGAAGGCAAAACAGGAGAAGACCGACCCACGCATTAGATATCTCGCATTTTTACAAGAGCATGCCACTCCAAAGCTTTACTGGCCGGAGTTTAAGCGCAAGTACAGGAAAGAGCCTGAAATGAAGGACTCTCAGCTTGGAGACAAAGACCGCGAGAAGTTCTACCGGGACCACATCTCGCGTCTCAAGCAACCCGAAAGCATTCGCAAGTCAGATCTGTCGGCGCTGCTCAAATCTGTTCCTTTGGACTTGTTGCATCGGTCGTCGAACTTGGAAGCTCTGCCCGCCATGATCATTACCGATATTCGTTATATCGGACTCACTCCCGAGGTTCGAAACCCGTTGATTGAGGCATATATATCTACTCTTCCTCCGGCGCCGGAGGTACAGATGACGGCAGAAGAGCTAGAAGAAGTCGACCGAAAACGTGTTGAACGCGAGAAACGCGAGAGGGCCCTTGCAGATCGGGAGAAGCGGGTGGAAGACGAGAAGCGGAGGCAGCGAGGAGATCTTCTACGTGGCAAGCATCTCCTCCGAGAAGGCGAGGCCGAGATTGAACAAGCAATGCGCGTCAACAAGGACGGACTAATGAGCTACATGGATGTCGATCAGGGGGCAGATGAGGAACAGAAGCCGAGTCAATAATAGTTGGTCACTCAATATTACATATCACTTTTGTCGAAACAAGGACAGCCGAGCTCATATTGTACATCAAGAGGCAATTTGCTTATACCGATGCCATTCGGTTCCTGAGGGTATCACTGTAGATGAGAGAAATCATTCCCCTGCACGTAGACGATTCGTCATTTCACCATCGATCCAATCATTTAAATCTCCAATCATCCCAATCCTCGTCGTCATCGTCTTCACTCTCGCTCTCAATCTGTTCCACTGTGGTAGATCCCATTGACTCGTCCTGTGTTTGATCTTCGGCGCGGGCTTTGCGCAGCTCCTCGCGTTTTTGTTTGAGCCTTCGCACCCGCTCCTCCAGCTGATCCATCTCGTCGAACTCCTCCTCCAGAAGCCGTGCGGCATCCTCTCGTTCCCCTTCCATCTCCGCCTCACGGGTGCGCACAGTCGATGCCTTCGCTCTCTCTTCCTGGGCAGCGATTTCTGCAGCTGTCATTGGTGCCGCAGATACCGTAGCCTTGGCTGTAACAGCGGCAGGTGCATGTGGCTCATCAGACTGCTCGGCGACCTCGCGTTCAAATGCTGCCCATGCTTCTTCGTCAATAGGCGTCGACGGATCTTGGGGCGGCTGCGTGGTTGGTTCTTCTGCGAGGTCTGCGATTGGCTCAACAATTTCTTGCTCGTTGTCGAGTGTAAGTTCCGG